GAAGAGCGTTATTTAAGTGTTCTTAAATGTACAGAAACACTTGAAGTAAATGCAGAGGACTACTGTTTCATTGTGTAAATTAACAGAAAGTATAACTTGCTTGGATTGTTTGGTTTATTTAGCACAATACTTCTTTACAACTATGTTTTTGTAGAGAGGAGATGTCCGTTTCTTGATCTGCACAGATGTTGCTGCTAGAGGAATTGATATTCATGGTGTTCCATATGGTAAGACATAACTTTTAAACTAAGCTATTGAATTGCATACGGCTTCAGTATATTTGCAGTCCTGCCAACTAGCTGAAACAGGTATGACTTAACAGCTTCATTTTAAAAAGTTATAGATGTTAAAGGCTTGAACTAGGCAACTTTTAATTTGATTGTTCACCATATCTTCTCAAATATGTGACAGTGTTCTGCATTGTTGGAGATCCTTTGTTTTTCCACTCTTATCAGAATGTAATCGTGGAGAAAGCAGTTTTATAGTGGAAACCTTCAGTGTAGGTCTTGCAGGTAATGATACCTGTAACTGTTGTAATAGAACATACAGCATGTATACGGGCTAAGGGAAGGATTGCAGCAATCAAAATTGTATTTATTTTAAGTGTCTGGTCTGGGACCTTAGCTCTTATACTTTAAAAAACATCTTGTATTCTCTGTGGATTGTGTGTATCTTACAGTTATCAATGTCACACTCCCTGATGAAAAACAGAACTATGTCCATCGAATTGGGAGAGTGGGCAGAGCTGAGAGGTATGTATGTGGTCAAGGTAGTCGCTATGTTTTCTTGACTTTTTTTTTTGTTACTGTTTCATAAGTTGGCAATAGTTATTGAAATACATTTTTCTCTCTCCCTTCTCCCTTAATATATCAGGATGGGATTGGCAATCTCCCTTGTGGCAAAAGAGAAAGAAAAGGTAATTATACTCCAAAGCAAAATTGAACAGACATTATTTACTGAAGTTCTATCCACAGCTGATGTCTGACTTTAATATCCTACATTGGAAAACTGCCTGTTTGTTCTTGCTTAATTGAAAGGGAATTTAAATAGGTATCTGAATTCTTTTTCATGCTGTAATTAATAAAAATGAACGTACTAAACTTGTTTTTCTTTATTGCTAGGTTTGGTATCATGTATGCAGTAGTCGTGGAAAAGGATGTTATAATACTCGATTGAAGGAAGAAGGAGGTTGTACCATATGGTACAATGAGATGCAGGTAAACATTTTGCTTAACCAGAATGTTCTAATGCCTCTAAAAGACTGTGCAATGCAGTTCTTCTCTTAGCTGTGTAGTTGAAGTACAAAGCTAGTTTTGAGGTATATATAAACTTTGATTCCATTTGAAAAAGAAATTGGGAAACTTTGCAAGTTATACTTTCTGTTAAGTTACTTCTTTAATTATAAAAGCTTGTTCTAATATTCTCAGCCAATTCTGTTGGAGTCTTATTTTCAGCTTCCCTATAATCTTCCTAATCAAATGCTGCTAAGAGTTACAGGATGTTAGTTACACATTTTTGTTTAGATGGTTTGTTGCAAAACTGTAACTTGTAACTGTTGTTGTTCTAACCTGGAAATAGTGTGTCACTTAAGTGCATTTTCATTGGGATTTGTAGGCTGAGTATGGATGCCTGTTAAATTCACAGTGCTTCACCCCTTTCTACGTGAAAGGGTGACTGATATAGCATCTGTGGTAAAATAAGCTTGGACTGTGAGCTCTTTATTATACAGTAGCACTGTTCACATAAGTAGGGTAGTATGTAAAATAAAGGTTTCTAGGTAGGGTGAAAACATACTGAGATTGGAAATGAACTTGTATGGTCCGTTTGAGAAAAAAAATGTGTTAGTCTTTGGTGTTTGCAATCAAATTGTTTTCTGTGTATTGTTCCTGTTGAAAATACTGGAATGTGACTGTTCAGAACAGTAGTCTGACTGAAGTCTTGGACCATAAGAGTACTTTAAAACTTTGTTTGGGTTTTTTTGGTTTTTTTTTTTAGTTGCTGGGGGAGATTGAAGAACACTTAAACTGCACTATTGCCCAAGTTGAACCAGACATAAAAGTACCAGTAGATGATTTTGATGGGAAAGTTACGTATGGGCAGAAAAGAGCTCTGGGTGGTAAGCAGTGAGCTACTCTTGAATTACCTTGCTACTCAATGCTCAGTTTCTTGGTTACATGCAGTCTATGGGATGCAAGTGACCAAAGTGTATGTATGCCTGTGTTTTTAAATTGATTGTGGGGGTTTTGTGCTTTTTTTTTTTAACAAGTTAACAAAGTTACGTTAACTTTCTGAATAATGTGGTTAAGCATCATTCTGCTGAAAAATGGCTTTGAACACATTATTTAGATTGGGTCTCTTTTGGCAGGTGGACTGTATAAAGGCCATGTGGATATTCTGGCACCTACAGTACAAGAGTTGGCTGCCCTTGAAAAGGAGGCTCAGACATCTTTCTTGCATCTTGGCTATCTTCCTAACCAGCTGTTCAGAACATTCTGATTGTGCCACACTTGAGACAAGACTTAGTTAAATGCTCCACCCTGCAAATACAAAAATCACATACTCTCTCTGAGTTGCAGTAGTTAGAAAAGGATTAAAATTGAATATACTTCTTGCGTGATTAAAAGTGTGTTCAGCATTGCTAACTCCCTGTTAGCTGTTGTCTTGATAAAATAAAACAAGTCAAAGATGAAATGGTTTCTCTTGCTCTTCTTTTGCCTTCCCTTGAGGATTAATTTGCAGAATCATTCTTTCCATAGCTTTTTGATTTGTTGAAAACACAAGTGTAGTTCAGCAAATCTGGAAGAAGGAGAGTTTAATTTTTTTCTTTGCAGAATATATGTTAAAATTACTTAACTAGCTGTGTACTGTACCTTTTAATGCTGAGCTTTTCAAAGATGCATCTGTATTCAGACAGATGTTTAAGATCTTGAAGAAGAAAAAACTTCCTGAAGTATGTATTTGAAGCTCTTGCTTATACTAAAACCCTAAATCTAGGCTGATAACCTGCATTTTGATTCTATAATGCTAGACTTCTCAAAGTTAATGTGTTAAGGTGTCTTAAATTTCAAAAATTGATCTTTTACGAAGAATTCTACAATACTCTGAATTCACAGGAAGGTAACACACTAGTATCAAAGCACTTCATAAATCTGCAGGAAAAGCTTTTTCATGCAGCAATATAGGTTGAATTACTTCATGCCTCTTGTGCTGCTTTTCAGGCAGGTTAAATTTGTTCAGATGAAGTTACTGTAGTCTGATTTAGGGTTTTTTTTTAGCTTCCTTTATTCTCTAGTGACTCCTCTAATGATACTTAGAAATATCAGTGACTTTGCCTGAAAATTGTCACCTAAAATATCAAAGGTCATTGGGCATGCCTGACAACCCAGAATGAAAGTAACCTTTTTGCCTTCCTCACGAAGACATCTAGTCATAAAGCCTTGCAGAAAACAGTGAAAACCAGATTAAACTCAGGTTGAGCAAAGAAATGATTTTTTTTTTTTTTGGTGTAGTGTTACCTAGAGGGGGTACATTGAGAGTCCTAGCTGTTAAAATACATAGATTTCTCATCAAGGGAAACTTCTCATTCAAAATAAATTTATTGCAGTGCCTAAAATAATTTTAGAGAAGAAAACAGTTTGTGCATGTTTACAAATTGAAGCTGAGAGTGGAAACGGTTTCATTTAGTTTAAAGTGGACATGTTATGTGTACTTGGTGATCACTTTTAAATCATGGGGAAAACGATGGGTACATGGAATCAAAAATCTTACCAGCATTGATCTTTTTGTAAGACTGTAGTATTTTAAATCTGCTGCATGTTCAAGTTGCTGATAGCTTTCAAGATCAGTTATTGAGTATCCAAACTTCAGTGAGTGATTACAAATTACGACTATTCGGCATGGCTTTTTCCAGTCCTAAAGATGAAAGTCCCTTTAAGCATATAACGTTAGGCATGCCAATACTTAAAAAATTGTATTTCCTTGGTGTAGGAGCTGAAATTGTTAAAATGGCCTAATGTATACTTGTTTTCAGGAGGGTTTTGCTGATGTACCTTCAAACTGCAGCATGAGGGGGGGTACAGGGGTGAGAGTTTCTGGTTGAGGAACTTCAAAGCTTGACTGAGATGTCAAGAACTGAACTGTATCTTGTGCTGAACAACAGAAAATCCCTGCTGCCCTAATGAGTAATCTCTAGGATTTATTTAGATGAGATTGCAAGTAGTTTATGCGCTATTGTTTGGAGGGATCTGGTCTGGGTTTTTAATATTACTTCCAGTTACTGCTGTCTTAAAACACTAAAAAGATGAACTTTCTGGAAGACATTTCTTCAGAAAATGAAGTTATTTAAAAAAAAAAAATTAAAAAAAAGCTAAATGGAATTATACCAAATTAAGTTCAGACAATTGTCCATGGCATGAAGTCCTTGGATGTTTGCTGTCTCTTACTATTTTTATCTCAGAATGCACATGCCTTTACCCCTAGTAACAGTAAGTGCTAAGCCGTAGGTAGCTAGAAAGGCGTGATTCCAGTTAGAAGCTTTAACTACCTTTCTTGAACTGAGCACTGACTTGCTTTCCCATCCGCAGTCAAGGTACCTAATTGGGTGTCTTTTTATATACATGTAGGCTGTTCTGCATATGTGTACTACATGTATATGACAGGGGTTGGACGTTATAATGTGCTTTTTTGTTACTTTTTGTTAGCTGACTAACCATTGACTGCCTCGTGGTGGTGCTGATGTTTCGCATATGGCGAGAGAGGCCATGAATAAACCAGTCTGCTGCTTCCCACCGGGTTTGTTATATTCTCCCGATTATTTTTTTTTTTCTCCTTAGAACTAACTCGTAAATAAAAAAGAACTTAAAGCTGTTAGAACTGTTTGTGTGGAGCACAAACTCACATTGAAGGGCCCTTGCTTCACTGGCTGACTTCTTGTCCCAGCTTGAATAAATGTGCGATTTAAGCTGTTACGATGGTTAATCCACTAACTTCTGTTCTAAATGGCTTGTTCCTTGTCTGGATACAACGCTAATTCTTGCTACTGTACATGTCAAAACTGGGTTTATTTTTCTTCTCAGTGTTGATTTCTAGGGCTGGCTAACTGTGAAAACAGCACCAAAAAAATAGGCTTTCATAAGTGCCCCCAGCAGTATTTGTTGCAATTTACTGGCTTTGGAACTCTGTGAGCAAATCCCATGTAGGCATGCTTGCTCTGCTTCAGCTTTTCTGACCAAAAGGGGAAAATTAGCTTAAGCAAAATGAACTAAATGAAAGTTCTAGTTTTAAGCTCTTCTTTTTTTCCTAGTTATATTTTAATAATAGCTGTAAGATTGGGATAGGGAGAGATTTTTGTTTGGCTTTTTATCACTTGCTTATTGGAGGACCCTTGTTCAATAGCTTTGTATTCAACTAATTTGCTTTAGTACAATGTCTTGAGAGAATTCACATTCTTATTGGATGATTAACTATTCATTTGAGTATTTATAACTACTGGTAGTAATCTTTCTTTGTTTTCCTTTACACTCCTATAAAGGTTCCTTTTATGGAAGGGAAAAGGATACAGATGGTGTTTGCCACTCAACGTCCAAACTGCTGAGCTGGGGGCCCCTTTTACTATACTCCAAAGGCAGGAGTTCACTGGTCTCTTACGCTTTAAGTATGGTTCTGTTTTGCTACTGTGAAAGCAGACAAAATTGCTGCTGGCAACACAAACTTATACTCTGGTCTTCTCATGTTTATGGAATCACACATACAAATAAACGCGCCTGGTCTATTTGAAGAAGTAATTGGCCTGTGGTCACTTCCATATGTGAATATCTGTATAATGCAATAAGCTGGGCTCCTACTTAGGCCAGTAAGCAAAATAACTGCATCTCAAGTAGATTAAATAAACGTAAGAAAGGAGAAAAATTAGGTGGTGAGTTCAAAGAGTGAACTTTACCAAGGAGTGTGTACCCTTCTGCCTTGCACCTCTGTTTCTAGATAGGGAAAAGTGCAAAAACTAGAGACACTTAAAGAAACCCTTTATAATTGCATTTACACCACCACTTGCCAATAGACAAAGTGAAGATATGCAAGGGGTGAGGGAGAGGAAAATCTATGGCTTGTGTAAGGAATCCTCTTTAATACTTCTTTGGCAAGTTGCTTGGAAGCAGAGTTGCTACTAGTTGCAGATGCTAACCCATTCTGTGAATGGTGAGCAAGCTCTTCATCGCTTCTTGTTAAGAAGTTTTCAAAAACCACTTTGCATCTTGCTTTTTGTCTGTAGTTCCTGGTTTCTTACAAATATGGCTGGATCCACAGGTGGAGAAACTGAGGTAAAGGGATGTAGTAATCAGCTGAATATCAGCCAAAGACTGGCAAGATCTTTCATAACTTCTTTGCAGCAATGATATATTAAAGGCTGTTTCATGATACTCAGCACACGAATGAAACAGCTGTTCATAATGGTTGTTATTATTGGGGAACATAAAAGGTACATTCATGAAGCGTATCCTATGTCTGCTGAGCACCGCTGCTTACTGGTGTGGCCAAGGCAGACAGCAGAATATTTCCCTTGTCCAGAAGGGATTTGCTTGATCTAGTATTTGGCAGAAAAAATAAGAGCAAACTACTAACTGATATGTGGAGAACGGATCACTGGAATTCAGTTGATTCTAGCTAACGCTGAGCTAATACCATTGTGGGTGAGAGGATACTCTGCCGCTCCAGAAAGACACGTGCTGTAGGTGCTATGTTATACCTGCCAGTGCTGTACAGAAAATTCAGGTAGCCCAAAGCATCTAAACAGCATCAGCACTTTACGTTTAGGCAACTTGAACCATCCTATGTCTATAAGTTTAATTCAAAAATGAACATGTATGGAAATGTCCTATTACTCATATCTCATTAAGTGCGCTGCCGCTGCAGTCTCACTGCTATATTCACCCAGTAAAAGCTCTGAAGTGTTACAGAGTTGTCCACTGGGGACTTTATTCTGATTGCTGCAATACACAAAACTCAAAATGGGTGATTTGGACAGTACCTGTTAAAGCCATCCTTCTACAGATCTGTGTTTGAGAACCAACTACAGCTTTGATTGTGTTAGAATTAGTTCAAATTATTGTATGAGTTATGAAGGATAACAAAACCCAATAGAAATCACATCCAAATTGTTTTTGCTGACATTTGTGACTATTTGGTATATTATCAATATTATGTATGGCTATCTGTTATTTAGGTTTTAAGCAATATGTTCTGTTGTAATAATTGTTACAAATTTTTGGCTATGACATTTAGTTTTTTAACAATAATGGTATTTTTAAATTAAGTGCTTCAAAATAGGAAGTAGAAAATTTGTTATTATACAGTAGTATATGCTTTAAGCACTCCTGTACCAAATGCAGTAATAGGTTTGGGATGGGTTTAAGTGTTAAAAAAAAAAAAAAAAACAAACCACTTAAATTGCTCTTCATTCCCTTGTAATGAGATTTTAAGCAGTGTTTGGCTGAAATGGTTAAAAAGAAGTAGGTTTCTTTAAAAAAAAAAAAAGTCTATTCACCTGGAAGCACTGATCTTTGGTACTTCTAATGTCCTAAAACAGTGAGAAGATTAGTAAAAAATTTTGTAAAATTATCTTAATTTAAATTATCTGAAGTTTTCTGTCAGTGGCCCAGACTCTGGGCAGGAGTTTAGCCACAGCCATTGTTGC